TCCAAGAATTATAAGTTGTTGTTCATGACCTCCTTGTTGAAGGTATAAACCGAGCCAATATTTTTATTCAAGATATTGATTATTTTACTAATTATAAATTTATGATTGAAGGTATGGTCATAAATAAAGTGTTTCAAGTTGCGACATTTATTGAAAAGTTGCCTCCGCTGTGGAAGGACTTTTAAGAATTACTTGAAACATAAGCGCAAGGGGATAACGCTTGAAGACCTTATTGTTCGTCTACGAATTGAAGAGGACAACAAGGCTGCTGAAAAGAAGTCCCGTGGTAACTCAACAATAATGGGAGCAAATATTCTTGAGGAAGCATCTACAAGCAACAGAAAGAGAAAGAAGCCGTCTGGTTCAAGGAATTACCGAGCAAGAAGAAGTTCAAAGGTAATTGCCACAACTGTGGAAAGGTTGAAAATAAAGTTGTGGACTGTTATGCACCGAAAAAGGATAAGAAGAAGAGTCAAGCAAACATGGTTGAAAAGAATGATGAAATTGATGACTTATGTGCCATGCTATCTGAATGCAGCTTGGTAGGAAATCCCAAGGAGTGGTGGATTGATTCTGGAGCCACTCGCCATATTTGTGCTAACAAAGAGTTAGTTGCCTCTTATGTTCCCGCAGAGCCCGATGAGACTATCTTTATGGGAAACTTCGCAACAACAAAAATTGAAGGAGTTGGGAAGATAACTTTGAAGATGACTTCGGGCAAAGTTGTGACTCTAAACAATGTTCTCCATGTTCCTGAAATTCGAAAGAATTTGGTCTCTACTGGACTTCTTATCAAGAATAGATTTAAGCGTGTGTTTATTTCTGAAAAAATTGTAATAAGTAAGAATGATGTGTTTGTAGGAAAAATGTTACCTAACTGATGGCCTTTTCAAGCTGAATGTAATAGCTATTGATATCAATAAAGTTCAAGTTTCTTCTTACTTACTTGAGTCAAATAATTTATGGCATGCACATTTAGGTTACGTCAACGTCAAAACTATACGAAAAATGATTAACTTGGAAGTATTGCCTAAATTTGAGCGTGATAATTTGAAATTTTAAATATGTGTGGAATCTTAGTATGTTAAACATCCTTATAAATCGGTTGAAAGGAATTCAAATTCTTTAGACTTAATTCACACAGATATTTACGACATGAAGTCAATACCATCTCGCGGTGAAAAAACATATTGCATAACTTTTATTAATGACAGTACTAGATATTGATATATTTATTTACTTAATAGTAAAGATGAAGCAATTGAGGCATTCAAGCAATACAAAAACGAAGTTGAAACGCAACTAAACAAAAAGATCAAAATGGTAAGAAGTGATAGGGGTGACGAATATGAATCTCCTTTTGAAGAAATATTTTTGGAATATGGATTTACCAAACAACTGCCCCTTATTCGCCACAATCTAATGGAATTACGGAAAGAAAGAATAGAACGTTAAAGGAGATGATGAATGTCTTGTTGATAAATTCGGTTTTACCTAGAGCTTGTGGGAGGGGGGGGGNGAATGCCTTGTTGATAAGTTCGGATTTACCCCAGAACTTGTTGGGGGGAGGGGGAGCTATTCTTACAGCTAATCAAATACTCAATCGAGTTCCCCATAGCAAAACACAATCCATTCCATATGAAAAATGGAAGGGTAGGAAACCCAACTTAAAATATTTTAAAGTGTGGGGTGTTTGGCTAAAGTACAAGTTCCTAAACCCAAAAGGGTGAAGATTGGACCGAAAACGGTTGATTGCATTTTCATAGGATATGTAAGAAATAGTAAAGCACATCGTTTTCTAGTTCATAAATCAGAAAATCCTGACATTCATATTAATACGGTAATCGAATCCGATAATATTGAATTCTTTGAGAATATTTATCCGTATAAAAATGAATGCGAGTCATCTAGTGAAAATTTTAAGCGACGTCGAGAAGAAGCAAAGGAAGGTACGTTTAATGAGGAAAATCCAAGATGTAGTAAACGTCAAAGGACAACTACTTCCTTTGGACCAGGCTTTCTGACATTTTTGTTGGAAAATAGACCTCAAATGTTTAAAGAAGCAATGTCTTTCTCGGAAGCACAATATTGGAAAGAAGCAGTCAATAGTGAGGTAAAATTCATATTAAGTAATCATACTTGGAAATTGGTTGATCTTCCTCTAGAAAACAAACCTTTGGGTTCTAAGTGGATTTTTAAACGGAAAATTAAAGTTGATGGTACTATTGACAAATATAAGGCAAGACTAGTTGTCAAAGGATTTAGACAACGAGAAGGTCTTGATTATTTTGATACATACTCACCGGTAACAAGGATTAGATCTATTCGGGGTGTTAATAGCATTAACCGTCGTGTATGGTCTTAAAATCCATTAGATGGATGTGAAGACAACCTTCTTAAATGGATATTTGGAGGAAGAAATTTATATGGAACAACCTGAAGGGTTTGTGATTCCTGGAAAAGAAAAGAAGGTGTGCTGACTGGTTAAGTCACTTTACGGATTGAAACAAGCACCCAAATAATGGCATGCGAAATTTTGACCAAACAATGTTGGCAAATGCATTTAAGATGAATGAGTGTGATAAATATGTCTACATTAAAAATACTCCAAATCATATAGTCATTGTATGTTTATACGTTGATGATATGCTAATAATGAGTAAAGACATTGCGAATATAAATGCTACTAAGCGCATGCTTGCTAGCAAGTTTGATATGAAAGACTTAGGAGTTGCTAATTTAACTCTAGGAATTAAAATCCATTGTACTCCTCAAGGACTGGCATTGTCTCAATCTCATTACATTAAAATAGTACTGAAAAAATTCAAGTATTTGGATTTCAAACTCGCAAAGACCCCGATTGATGTAAATATGGCTCTTATAGAGAATCTAGGTCAAAGCAAATCTCAACTGGATTATGCTCGAGTGTTGGTAAGTTTAATATATATCATGAATTGTACACGACCTGATATAACTTGTGCAGTAAGTTACCTGAGTCGTTACATAAGTAATCCCGACCAAACTCATTGGATGGCAATGAAACGGGTTTTGGAGTATCTAAAACATACCCAAGATTATACTTTGCATTACAGTAAGTATCGTGCGGTAATTGAAGAATATAGTAATTTAAATTGGATCACTGGGTCATCAGAAACAAAGTCCATAAGTGGATATATATTTACAATTGGTGTAGGAGCAGTTTCTTGGAAATCATCCAAACAAACATGCATCGCTCGCTCTACAATGGAGTCTGTGTTTATAGCTTTAGATAAGGCTGGAGAAGAAGCTGAATGGCTCCGGATTTTCTTGGAAGATATTCCGTTTTGGCCCAAACCATTGGCTCCTATATGCATACATTGCGACAGTCAAGCGGTAATAGGAAGGGCTGGAAGCGTTATATACAACGAAAAATCTCGTCACATACGACGAAGACATAATACCGTTAGACAGCTACTCTCTAGTGGAATTATCATAATTGACTATGTAAAGTCAAAAGATAATGTGTCGGATCCACTTACAAAAGGCCTAAATAGAGAGGCGATTGATAAATCATCGAAGGGAATGGGATTATGGCCGAGGACAAATAACTATGGCGGAAACTCTACCTAGAAGACTAGGGATCCCAAGATCTAGGTTCAAGGAGATCAAACAAAGTCATTAGTGACTGTTCAACATTGTCAAATAAAATTTTGGTCTATTCTCGTAATGAGACAATGTTCAGTACCAAGGATAAAGCGTTAAGGCGTTTTAATGGTTTCTAAGTTTGATACAGAGTGTATCAAATTGTATATCTATGGGATACCACATTTAGGAATCACCTATATAAGTGTGAAGTGTAAGCCGCTTCAAGGAGAATTCGGTAAGGCCAGTTCTCTATGCACTTATGAACCAGGCGATGTTCATGGCTGAAACAAACACAACAATGAGAACCAAAGGCGGTAAAAGGTTGATTATGTGACTTATGGCTGTCTAGGTATACACCAAAGTTCGAAGGTTCAAAGATATCAAATATACCGATTGACCGAGTATATCCGACATAAGTTCACTATGGAAAGTTCAAAGGGAAACCTACTTATCCAGATGCAATTAATCTTTGCTTGTAATCATACAGTTTTTCATGCATATATATTTTTAGATAGCCATTCCCCATTCATGTGGGGGATTGTTGGGTTTTATATAATAAGATGTGTGAATGGAAAATGGAGGGAAAATATTTGGAAGGAAACGAAAAGTTTGAAGTTGTTTTCTTTACTAATGCACTTTGTCCCTTATCGGAAAAAGGAAAGAAAATCTTTGTGCTTATATAGAGAAACACATCTTCTAGCTCTTAAAGAGTTGAGAAGAAGTGGTGCCTCACGTCATCGTTGTCGTTCGCTCGACTTCGGTGATATGATTGATTGATAATTTTTTGGACTAAATTTATTTTTCATATTCCGTTATTTATTTTTCTTTTTCCTGATATATTTTCGCGGATAATTTTCTAACGGTCATTTTTGAAATTAAAATTTGCGACCAAATAGAAAGGAACAATACCTCATGTGAATAGGTACTTTCGCACCTATTCAACCCAGACTTTCTGGCTATAAATTCAGAGGTTTAGCCTCACTTTCAGACCACCGAAAATTTGCATATTGTCCCCTCTCTGTTCTGCATTTCTGCACTGTCTTTCAAAAGTAAAAACGTAAGCATCAGTGTGATTTACTGCCGTTTGTTGAGTACGACGAGTTTCTGTAATTTCCATTGCCGGTATTACAGAATAATTATTCCGTTCTATTCTGGGAGGAATTAATCCAACAACCTCGGACAACGGTGAGGGGATTAAATTACTTAAGAAAACACAGTTTTATGTTGGGCTCGGAACATTATTAATCTTATTTCATTTATGTCTTTTGTTTCTGGTTTCGTTTCATTTTGCAGAAATTATATTTTTGAGTAAAGATAATAACAAAGAGAAATGAAGATGACAGTATTACTACATAAGCAATGTGGAAAATTCATCCCATATCACGCTAATGTTAATGCACGTATGACAAACAACAACAATTCAATTACATCCATCGCCATTGACATTAATTTGTGTTCCAACTCTAAAAGGTGAAAACAAATAAAGCCTTCATTTACATTTTCTCAGCAAAGCTAGCAAAAGATAGAGAATTTTAACTTGGTCAATCTCCAAAGCTAGCTGCGTGCATGCTTCTACACAATTGTCAAAAGAAAAATGTAATCTTCTCCGTTGTAAATGTTCCCACCGTTACTATTTTCTCCTTTGGCTAACTCTGCAGCTACTTTGTGATCCAAGGCTACAAGCAGAAGGAAAAGTCTGCGGCGGACTCATCCCTACTTCGGCCTGATTTTGTAATTGCTGTTGTGCTTGCGGTGACACTCTCCATATCTTCACCGATTTATCAAGGCTTCCGCTATACACTATAAACTGTCGATCACCACTTGTTTGTTCTTTATCCTCTTCGACGGCCAAACATTTTACGGGACCAGAGTGGCCGCTCAAAACTGATAAACATATATGTTCACTCCCATCCCTTCTCCACACACAAATATTATTATCAGCTGATCCACTGAAAATTAAATTCCCTGCCGTTGCTAAACAGAGTGTTGCAAGTTTATGACCCCTTAAAACTCCTCCATGAGTTAAAAGCTTGTCACGTTGCCAAAAATTGACTAGCCCATCAGAGGAACCACAATAGAGGAAATTCGATGTTGGGTCCACAGCTAAGCTTGTTACGGCGCATTCTTGCTTCAATAATGTTTGTGAAAAGAAGTGTTTTGTTCCTTTCCCTTGTGATTCTTTTCTCCATATTTTAACAGTTCCATCAGCAGATCCTGAAAAGAGTTGTCCATTAAAGCCAACAACTATTGAATTTACGGCATCGTCGTGGGCATTTATCGATTCCAAACATTTCGAATCTGATGGTCGCCAAACTTTTATGGTTTTATCCCAAGATGCTGAATACAAAAGCTTTTGGTCCTCGCTCATGCAAAGGCAAGAAATCGCATCAAAATGCTTTATCCACACGGCATTTCGATTTCGCCTCGTTTCGATATAATTGCTCGGTTTCATCGAACTTTTTATATAAGCCGTTAAAGTTGGTAAAGTTCCTATGCGTTTGTAAACGCTTGGATCCTTACCAGAAACCTTCCAAACACGAATCTTCCCATCTTGATGACCTGTAAAAATTCTTTCTCCAGCAATAATAATTGCCTTTACCAATCCACTATTTGATTTAAATCCCGAAAATTCTTTGTGATTTTTCCACACCCTAATATTCTTACTATCAGATCCTGTGTATAACAAATCCCCTGAAGCGGCCAAAGAATATATATGGCCTTCTTCACGAACAAGGGAACCCATAAGACCTGTATAGGAATAATTAGTACTAGGCTCGACGTGAGATGTCCATGGAGATTTTGATAATGGAGATGTTGTTTGGTCCCAAGAAGGATCTAAATATGGAGATGATGATGGATCCCATGTAGGAGATGTGTTGTGAGGAGAGTTGTAATCGGAGCTTAATCGAGGACGAGGGCGATCGTAATTTGCATGGCTAGTTTCTGATATGTTGCTTATTCGAAAAGAATATTCATCTTCATTTGGATCAGATTGCATTTCGCTCCCGAATGCTTGTTTGTGGTGGCTGTTTTCTTCTGTCACCATTTTGCTTTTTCTTGAATTTCTCATTCTGCTATATTCTCATCAAAGTACCGATCAATGAACTAAAAAAGGTAGATGATTACAAATCAAATGAGAATTTAGAATAAACCAGGGAATTAATAAAGCGATCCAGGAAAGTTGGATTCAAGGAAAACCAGAAGAGGGAAACTATAGGATTGAGAGGTAGGAACAGAGAAATGTACGTAGGATGTTTTAGAGGAATGGGCATACATATGTTTTGAAACATGCATCAATAGGAGAGAGAAGGTGCGGCCATGAAGCTCTTGGGTACAAGACATGGATTTTTGAGGCACACTTTGTCAAACAATGCTGAAATATCCTAACCAGTAATAATGCATAGTAGTTTATACGTGGTGTTTACGCGCACCAACGAACTTTATTGAGTACTAGTGCAAAATTTAATATGCTCATATTTAATGATCACATGAGAAAGCGATACGTGGAGCGAAAAACAGACTACAGTTGGATCCGAAGGCATTGATCTCGCTTGTTATCGAAGAAAATGATACTCATAAAGACAAAATAAATGCGTGTCATCCGGTAGCATTCAATAAAGAATATTCTATAGAATTAAGTGCATGATCCGTTATAGAGAATATGACATTCAGTGCCCACCATTACACATTCTTCAATGGCCCTCGTAATTATTATTTAAGAGGGGTTTGATCCTAGGACCTTGTTCCTTAAGTGTAACTATAAATAGTGAACTCTATTATCATTATATGGGTACGAATTTTCTGACAAGCATACACTACATTTTATCACAAGCTCAATAATATTTTACTTGCTTATTTTTATATTGTTCTTACTGCCTCCGGAAGCTCTACACCTGGGACTAAGATATCTATTATTTTATTTTAATTTCAAGACTAAGTCTTACATTTTTGTCTATAAACCACGTACAAATTCAATTATATCGTTTTACGCGTAAACAGTTTGGCACCCACCGTGGGGCATAGACAGTCGTGAAATTGAATTAATCCCTCAATCTATTACTAACTTGTTTGATTCTTTATTCTTAGAAAAAATCATTAAAATGGTAGATAATGGTGTCAACAACACACACAACGTTGAGGCCCACAAAAATCATCTTCAGCACGAAGATTCCATCAGTGATACCCGCAACGAGGGGAACGAGGCCACGCCGGTTCACGACGGGTAATATCCACAACATGTTGGAGAGGCAACTCCTGATGATGCTGAAAACGAGCACGTCGTCGAAATAGTAAGGATCTTGAAGGAGTAACAAGAGGCCATTATAGGCCATCTCACACGACAGAATAAGGTCATGACGGAGCTGAAGTGGGCGTTGTCGGGTGCTTCTAATAACGCAAACAGATAAGGTCCAGTTCCTCCCGGTGCTCCCAAAAATCAAACAACACAGAGGGTCGACAACAACACCCCGAGGGGTGAGGTCGGTTTCGATGAGACTCAGGGGAACAATAGTAGTTCTGGCAACAACAATAAAAACGATCCCTTTAAAACCGAACTCATGCGGGTTACGAAGGAAATAAATGCCTGAATGGATCAAATTTCGGGCGCACCACCAGTACTGAAAGGGCCGGATGCAAAGAAGTATACCTAGTTGTCGTTCAAATCGAGCGCGTCATCAGAATTGATCCCGAAGCGGTTTAAAATGCAAGACGTGACAAAGTATGACGAGACTTCAGAGCTGGTGTCGTCTATGAGTAACATTAAAGAAGCATGGTTCCCGAAGACAACGAGAACCAATCCAAGCAAAAGGGATCCTAATTTGTGGTGTGAATACCACAGGACAAACGGTCACCGGACTGGGGACTGCCGACATTTGCACAAAGAGGTGGCGACATTGCTGAAAAACGGCCATCTCAGAGAATTTTTAAGTGACTGGGCTAAAAACATCTATGGTCACAATAGTGATAATGCAGAACCTTCAAAAGCAGGAGAAGATCCTCCGTGCTTGACGATCAACATGATTTGNCTCCGGGAAGTCGCTGAAGACGACATTACTTTCATGGAGGAAGACGTAGATGGATTGATGTTATCGCACATTGATGCGTTGGCAATTTCTTTGAATGTCTTAGATTTTAAAATTAAACGTGTTTTGGTGAACCCAGGAATTCGGCCAACATCATACAATGAAGGGTGTTGGAACAAGCCAAGCTCACCGGAAGCATCATTCCGACCACAAAACTCATCGCCGGGTTCAACCTAGCAAGTATGACAACCCGAGGAGAGATACGATGAAGACGACCCTTTTTCGAGGTGGTGGACGGCGATATAGGTTACAATATCATCCTGAGAAGGACATGGTTGCACGAGATGAAGGTTGTGCCATCAATATATCATTAGTAGCTTAAATTCCCAATTCCTGAGGGAGTTAAACAAATAAGAGGTGACCAACTGGCAGCAAAGGAGATGAATGCAATATCAATTTCCATTAGCAAAGGGAAGGAGCATGTGGCACAACAATTACAGGAATCGGCGCCTACTCCAGAGCCGAGCGAAGTCAACCAGGGGGAGGAGTCGTCGGAATCCTATCAGGTACAAAGATATTTCCAAGTACCAGAAGAGACGGATGCTATAAAATCCACTGCGGAAGAACTTGAACAAGTCGCGTTATTTGAAAAGTTCTTGGAGAGGAAGTTCCACTTGGGGACAGGAATGCACCCCGAACTCAAGTCTGGATTTATTGAATTTCTTAAATTTAATGTCGATTGTTTTGCGTGGTCGAATGCGTATATAATAGGTATCCCGCCAAAAGTGACCGTACACAAACTAAACTTGGACCCTAGCATCCCTTCGATAAGATAGAAAAAATGTTATATTACCGAGGTCAGAAACAAATTTGTCAAAGAAGAGGTAACTCACTTGCTTGATATCGGTTTAATCCGAGAGGTAAAATATCCTGACTGCCTAGCTAATGGATGTGTGTGTAGACTATAAGGACTTAAATAAGGTGTGCCCAAAAAACTTGTTCCCATTACCAAACATTGATCAAATGATTGATGCAACGGCCGGGCACGAGTTAATGAGTTTTATCGATGCATACTCTGGCTACAACCAAATCAAAATGAACCTAGAGGATCAGGAAAAAACTTCGTTTATCACGAACTTCGGCATATATTGTTACAATGTGATGCCCTTCGGGATAAAGAACGCTAAAGCCACTTATCAACGGCTCGTGAAAAAAATATTCGAAAAGCAGGTAGGGAAAACCATGGAAGTTTACATAGATGATATGCTTGTTAAGTCTTTGAACGCAGGTGATCATCTTAAACACTTGCAAGAAGCTTTTGACATCCTAAGAAAGCATAACACGAAGCTTAAACCCGAGAAGTGTGCGTTTGGGGTGAGTTCCGGTAAGTTCCTAGGATTTCTGGTGTCACAAAGGGGGATCGAGGTTAACCCTGATAAAATCAAAGCCATCGAAGACATCCCAGACCAGCTATTAAGCGTAAAGGAGGTTCAAAGGTTAACAGGGAGATTGACCACTTTGAGCATATTCATTTCTCCATATTCGGGAAAATGCCATCATTTCTTTCCATTTCTAAAAAAAAGAATAATTTGAGTGGAAACCGGAATGCTAGCAGGCTTTGAAGGATCTGAAAAGGTATTTGTCAAGTCCTCCGTTACTGTCAAAAGCAGAAGAAGGCGAACAACTACTGATCTACTTAGCGGTCTCGAAGGTTGTGGCAAGTGTTGTTTTAGTCCTTGAGGAAGAAGGTACGCAATCCCCAATTTATTACGTTAGTAAAATTTTAACAGGAGTAGAAACTTGCTACCCGCATCTGAAAAAATTGGCCTTAGCTCTCGTAGTCGCTGCTCGAAAGCTTAGGCCTTATTTCCAATGTTATCTGATAGCCATGGTGACCACTTTTCCCCTGCAGAACATTCTTCATAAACCCAAACTTTTGGGTAGGCTAGCCAAGTGGGCTGTCGAAATGAGTGAATTTAACATAGAATATAAGCCTAGAACTGCGATTAAGTCACAAGTCTTGACCGACTTCGTGGCCAATTTCAGTACGGGACTGTTACTTTTGGCTACCAAAGAAGTAGTGATTATCAGAATCGACATCAGGAGTTTGGACCATATTCACAGACGGAGCTTCCAACGTGAAGGGGTCCGAGCTCGGCATAGTACTAATAATGTCACGACCCAAACCGATGGGCCGCAACAGGCACCCGATACCTTACTCAATCGAGTACTAACATAACGTATCTTTTCATATTATACTATTATAGATAACTGAGACGAAGGGGCTTCCGTGAGATAAGTAGAATACAATATGAAGTACCAACTTATACTTAAGACATACGGGCCTATAAGACCAAAATAACCACTCGTACACTGAACATAGGCCGACAAGTCCATACAATCTTTTACGTACATGACATCTGTCTACAAGCCTCTAAGAATGTATAATTTTCATAAAGGTCGGGACAGAGTCCCGCCATACCAAACAATACACGTCTAAATCATACTGACCAAACAAGCAACTCCGGAGCAAATGGAGCGCACAAACATCTTCCACTGAGCTGATGGCCTATTTGTAGGGCTCTCGACTTGTCTATCGAGACTTGCGGGCATGAAACGCAGCATCCCCAGGCAAAAGAGACGTCAGTACAAATAATATACCGAGTATGTAAGGAATGAAAATTAGTAAACAATAGACATGAGAAAACATGGAGTAAAAGACTTGACATGTATGTCTGAATAACTCTGTGAATCATTTCATTTTTATAATGTCATGCATATGCGTATAAATGTCATACCATGCATAGGTATATTCGTTCATAACATCATCAAGCCTCTGAGGGCATCCCATCATATCATTTCGGCCACTGTGGGCAAATTATCAACGTATACCAGCTGATCAGGTGGTGGTGCGTATATAACGTCGTAACCTTTTTTCCTATCCCATATACATATAATATACGCGTATATAACGCCTTCTGGTCATAGGTCAATGTACATATATAAATGCATAAAAAATACGTTAATAAGATTTCTCGAATATCATAAAATCAATATGCCTTTCGGACAACTTTATCAAATACGTATTTTTCTTAGACCCATGAACATAGGATATAATAATAATTTACACGGGGAATCAAGAATATAGACACCCCTAGTATTTTTATTAATAGATTCATTTATGAAAGTTGCGTATTTTGCTCGTTTCGTTTGTATCATTTGGATCATGCCAAAAAGAAAGAAGGGATAGCCTTAACATACACCCGAACCGATTCTCTTAGAATTAGGTATGGAATTGTTTTGCTTTCTTACTTACGCATGATCTGTCCACTCTACTTACACAAGAGATTCCATTTGTTGTCTCAATAGTTAGTCCCTTTTTAATAT